ATGTAACAAAAGAAGCAAAAATTAACCCAAGCACTACATCACTCTTTATAAAAGTGGTCTCCTCCTCCTATTTACTTCTTTGTGTATGCAGTGTTGGGGGCAGGTAGGGGGCAGAGTGGATAGAGCGCAGGGCCTGGAGTCAGGAAGACTCCTCTGCCTGAGTTCAAATTCGACCTCAGACACTTCCCAGTTGTGTGAACTTGTACTAGTCAACCCTTTTTGCCTCAGTTTTCTCATTTGGAAATGGCAAACCACTACAACATTTCTGCCAAGAAAAGCCCAAGTGGGGTCAACGTTGTCAAGTTGGACACGACTGAACAACAGCCACATGCTGTAATCCCTCAGGAGAATGTAGGCAAGGACTACCTTTTCAAAGGCAGTGTTTGCCTTGGAATCCACGTAAACTAGCCCAGTGTCTTGCACACATTAGGAGCTTAGTGTTTGTTGAACTGAACTGGATTAAGTGAGTGGTACAGACATTCAGAGACACAAGACTCCCCTGGAAGGAATGATCCTGGTTGCCTGGAGCAGTCTGGGAAAGCGCTGTCACAGGAAGGGGAGGCTCTGGGGAGGCAGAAAGATGTGGAGTCTACACCAAGGAATAAGAGACGAGCGCTGCATCTTTAATGACCAGACGCTGCAGCCTTCTCCGTGATCCCTCATCTCCCTTTACTGCTTAAATCACACAGAGAAAGTATAGGAGAAAGGACTGGGTAGGGAGAGGCAGCACACCAGGCAGCCAGGCAGGATCAGGCCCTCTTCAGATGCCTGCTCCTCGAGCACGTGGCATCCCTCCTTCGGGGCTCAGTCTCTTCACCTATGGAGGAGGGGGTTGGGCTGGGTGACCTCGGAGCTCCCTACCGACTCTAAGTCCCTGGTCCTGGGATCCTCAAGAAGCCTCCTTCAATTCCACCAGGGACACGTCTGACTCATTGAGTCACTGGCCTGGCCCGGTCTGTCTCGGAGTACCCAGACTACCTACATGCTACACTGTGTGTGACACTGCATTCTACCAAGATCAGTGTCCACCTCTTACACATACCCACCTGGTGAGGTCTCTCCACAGCCCCTTGTGAAAGAAACAGGAAAACATTAATCTGTGCATTTAGGCACGCGCGAAAGCGGGCAAACTTGGAATGGGATGAATGCCACAGAAGGTAGCTAGTTGGCACAGTGGCTAGAGCTCCAGGTCTGGAGGCAGGAACACCTGAGTTTAAATCCTACTAACACTCATGGTGTACACCTTCTCTGTACATCTTAACTTAAATGCTATCTGTCTCCCCTGTTAGAAAGAAGGCTCCTGGATGGCAGGAACTGTTTGTGTGTTTCTTTGTATGACCACACCACCTGAGTCCTTAACAGATGCTTGCAAACTGTACTGCATATTGGGGAAATGTCACATGACTTTTGGAACATCTTCAGCTGCTCCGCACAGAAACCCCAACCTGCCCAGACTGCCTCAGTGGTACTGTGCGGCTTCAAATCACAGAATACCACAGTGCCCCAAGAACCACAAACTCAGTGACCTGAAGGGCTCAGCAAAGGTGTAAAGTGTGAGGCTGAGGCCTGCGTGCCCTTGGTCAATTCACCACCTGCTTCACAGGGCCTCAGATTCCTCAGCTCTCCAATAAGGAGCCCATGGTCCCTTCCAGCTCTAGGCGTGTGGTCCTGAGATCCACAAGTAGGCTGCAGCCGACTAATGACCACAGGTGCTTCGGACAGAAATATAAGCATCTAGGAAATGTATTATCTAAAAGGAAAGTGAGCCAATCAGTAATGAGAACAAGGGATTAATGCCTTCTTCCCACAGGGCAGGTATTAAGCACCGGCAACAACTAAGCTAAGACGACAGATCCTCCTCCAGAGGATTTCTGGGAGAATGAGGCAAGCACCCCAGGAGATCCAGAGGGCACATCAGTGACATCATGCTGCTAGCAGAGAGAAGCGAGGGGCAGGCAAAGTCAGCGCAGGAGGATGGAGGTGAGGATTCTGGGCTGGAAACACTTCAGTCAGAAAAGTGGGCAGGGTTGTCGTTTGGGTTTCGTTTTGCTCTGGGTATTTTTTTTACTGCAGACCTTTAAGTTAGGAAGAATGTAATTAGAACAGAATTTTATCATGAAATCAGAGTGAACTCAAATCCCAAACAGGAACTAAAGCCACAAGTCCCCCCTACTGCACTTGGGTCTGAAGATCTGGGATTAGTGGCAGGCTGCATTCTTCCTTCTGAATCAGCCTAGTAAAGCTTTCTGGAGCCTGTCAGGGTTTCAGGTAGGACGTCCATTCCAATTCTGAACAGATTCTCCTTAGATAGTGAAATCAGACAAGACCGTAGCCTCGGGGGATATACTTGTAGACAAAACTACATAATTAGTATTGTAAACAATCCCTCAGAAGAAGCAGTTAACCCATGAGACTTACCCCGGAATTAAAATTTGTTTTACTAAGAGAGACTGCTGGGCCTCAGAAACCAGGAAGAGCAGGGTTCAAAGTGTTCAACACCTCCCAGTTAGCAGGCAGTGGGAAAAGCTACTAGCCTTTCTCACGGCTCGGGGCAAAATCCTTACAAACAGTAAACTGGAGAGCAGGAGTGAACTGGCCTCTGGGCCTGGGAAGAGGGAGTTTCCTCTACTAAGGAAAGCACAGTCCCTATCCCTAAATTTGGTAAATAACAAAAGCTATTAAGAAAAGAGACATTTAAAAAAAAGCAATGAAGAAGCCAGGTAAAGAACAATCAATATTCACCAGAGAAAGGAAAGTCACTCCAAATCCAAATCCATACAAAGCCCTGCCCCTAGTAGAAGGGAACAAGGACAGGGGCCCAGACAAGGAGAACAGCCAGCCAGGTGGCTGAGCTCCTGGACTCTAGGCCTGAAAAAGGGGACAACCACGGAACCAAACTCACCTGGTAACTAGCTAGGCTGACCCTCAGGTTTGAAATCACCCCCTTCATTCACCCGTCTCTGCCCAGCTAACAACTAGCCAAAGAAACGTGGTGTGCCAAACCAAAATCTGGTTCAAAGAACGAACAAGAAATATCTCTGAACAACCTCTTGGCCCGGCCTTCAGTGAGGAGGCTCAGACAATTTCGAAGCCAATTTCTGCTCCCCCTTCTTGAAAGCTGGATTCGTTGTTACAATTGCGTCTGTGTTCTATATACCATGTGATTAAAGCTATAGATTTTAATGAAGTAATTACATGGTAATAAACTCAGCTTGCTTGATTTTTCTGGGGTGGATCTTAGGAGTAATCAGAGAATGATCACAAAAGACAAATACTAAGTAAAACAATTTGAAAGCAGTTAATTCCAAATCATAGCTGGCCTCTTGGCATTTTACACGAAACAAATAAAAAAGGATTTTTATGAAGCAAAAAAGCAGCACCCCTGTGCCTTTTCCCCTAAACCTGCAATCCCACATGGACTGTAATTCCATCAACATCAATGATAAATGTCCGAAAAGGCACAAAACGATCTCTTGTATCGCAAAAGTCAAGTCTTTCCTAGGGCAGGCCAATGTGGTCTGTTAACATATATACTCTGATTCTACCATGTGGCATCACCAGGATAGAGGCCTGCAGTTCATCTGAGACCTCAGCTAGGCCTCACCTTTAAGGTCAGTCCAGCACTGATGCACAAACAAACACAACATCATTTAACCCTTCAGTGGCCTTGACAGACAAACTGCATGTGGGAAGTGTGGCTCTAATGAGTGGGGATCACTTGAGATATTTCCCGACCCCTCAGCAGCAGATCTCATAAGCAGCTGGTACTTGGGGCCCAGAGCCCAGTCTTTAGGATCTCAGCCTCAAAGACTATGACTTTTGGGGGTGGGGGTTATGATCACTGTATGACATAAAGTGCACGGGGAGGTATTGGAGGAAGAAATTAGAATAACTTGAATATTTCCTACATCTGCTTTGGTTCTAATAGGGCTCAATTTTCCCCCTGTTAACCTGGCTTAGAATTTCATTAATTCTATCAGACCATCATGGATGCAAGATATGAACAAAACTGGGACTGATTCTGAATGTCATTTAGAAAACTAAAGCTGTGACGAGATCCAGGTTTCTACTCACAAGAAAAAGAACCAATTCCATGGAATGAATTTTCTGTAGAAGCAGACTATGCTTCTTTCTTAAAGAGTATCAAAGAAGTAATTTTCAAAAAACAGGATAAAACTAACCTCCTGTAGATGAGAACTACAGAACAAAACTAACCTGTAGATGAGAAACACCTCTCTTGAAAGCTTTTCCGCAAATTCTACAAATTATAAAAACTGTTCAGAGTATCCATTTGAACAAAAACATATGGTAGTGACTTCAGGCCTCTGAAAAGAATCTTTTAACTGTTCTTCCATAAAAATATTAGTTTGTTCTGCTATAGAATTTCTTACAATTTTAACTAGGGAAAACCTTACCTGTCACAGAAAACATACCGCCCTGGGATCCCTTCTTTCTAAAGTCAAATCATTTCACAGAGACAGGAAGGACACCAAGAATTACACTAAATGCTATATAAGAGAAATGGTACTATTTCTAATACCGATTCCTTTTGATTGTAAATGTCTTGTTACTGAGACAAAGATTAGCCTTGCCACATGACTAAATGGAGCAGAATTTCAGGAAGTGCTCTTCCAACACCTCCTCGGGTGATTGGTTTCACACAGACATGTCTAGTGAAAACAGCATACTATTTTCTATTTCTACCAGTAATCCAAACCAAAGTTCATTGGCTCAGGTTAGAACACCCTGATCCATGAAGCCCTTGCTAAAACACAATACCAATTCTGGTTAGTCAACTGTGGAAAAAACTCAGCTTTCTCACTTCTCTAGGTTAACAGACCCATAAACACAAATACACTCACTACTTGCCATTGGTGAGCACCCACCAACACAAATACCCCACACACATCCAGCCCCACCAAACATGCTTTTAACAGATTTAACAATAGCATTTCAAAAATGTGTCACAAGACTCTTTTACAGAATAAACCATGACTCACTGTTGGCTTTCTTCACCAGGAGGCGGAGTCTTGCCATGCCCTTCCATTACCAAATCTTCATGTCCCACCTGCCAAGGCAAGCATCACAGGTCATGTATTATCACCTCCAAAGTGGGCCAATGCTTCATGTTACAATTAAATTTGGTCATTTCACTGTATACTTCCTAGAACTGTAGAAATCGGAATCAGAAGGAGCCCTAGAGCTAATCTAATCCAACCCTTTGCTCATTTTACTGATGAAAAAACTGAGGCAAGGAGAGGTTCAATGGTTTGTCCAAGAAGAAACATCAGGTTAATGGCGGAGCTGGACCCTGAACCCCGACGCTCCCATGTTCTTCCCACTCCAACATTCTGTCTGACTCTCCTATTCCAGATGCCAGTAGTTTTCGTCCCCTCAAGGGAACCTTTCCTAGGTGATCATAGCTCCATGAAAAGACTGGACACTCGGATGCTTTAGAAGACATCTTTGGCCATTAGTAAATAGTGCTTTATGAAAACAAACAAAATTTCTTTCCCTGAAATAGTTCATGAGGTAATAAAGAAGAGTCTCAGGTTCAGGCACTATTCTCAACCTGGAAAAAAGGAGAGTGTGGAGAGGGTGGAGTGGTGGGAGGGTCGGCCTCCTGGCCAGGACAGCCCAGGTTCAAGCCCTGCTTCTGCTGCAGGAGCGGCATGAGCACGTCCCCTCCATGCCAATGGTTAGAACCACAAGTCTCAGGGCCTCCGTCTGATCACGCCTGGGGATGAGCCACGCCACTTGTGCACAACCTACTTGCCTCCCCCATGTATCCTTCACTGTCCTTTGGTCGGCAGCAGCCATGCCGAGCCAGAAATCATGGGGTCACATGATGACAAGGAGAACAACAGATGGCTCTGTGCCAGGAGGCGGCCTGGAACTTTCAGGAAAACCGTGCACTCTTCCACTTGCAGCCCACCCTGTCCTCCTCCTGCTATGTAATTGTAGGACCTTCCCAGGGCTTCCTTCTGGTTTCTGTGGCTGCTGTGTGGAAACACTAATGATTTCTGTGGACCTACTTTGCATCATGCTTCTTTACAGGAACCGTCTTCCCCCCTCATCCATCCGTAGTGCCTATTCCAAGTACATGCATCCACTGATCTACTGAATTCATCGTCTTACACCAAACAGTTTGGACTCTGGAGTGGGAGGACCTGGGTTCACACGTGACCCAAGAGGGCCGGATCCGCTGGCCTCTGAGGTCGCCTCCACTTCCAGATTTGTGACCCTGCCAGGGCTGGTCATCAAGACTCTGTCAGGTCCTGGGGCAGGAAGCCCGAAAAGGGTCTGGCGGGCTTGCCAGGGGAGGCGGTCACTGGGCTCCTTTCGTCTCCTCGCTGCAAAAACTACTTTATTACCATTTTCTACAACAGCTCCAACCCAAACCATCTCTGCCTCTTTTCCATTTCTCAGCACTGAAAGTTCCTCTGACTAGGTCAGGCTGAAGCTGCTGCTACTGTTCAGCGCCTTCTCATGGGTTCTCCCTTCTAACTGATCTGAGGCCGAGTTTCACTGGCCAGTGGTTTGGCCGCACACAGACAGACGGTTGACTCTTCTGTGCTTTCTGCATCAACAGCCACCATGTTCTTGCCCAGGACAGTCCTTCTCCCTTCTTTCTGTGATGGCCATTCTGTGCTCCACACATCCTCGTCCGTGGTCTTGCTCTCTCGTGGAAGAGAAGTATTCCTGACCTGGAGGACAAAGCTCTTCCTCATCCACAAGCCCTCAGCCCTCTTTTCTCTCTCAAACTTGAGCCTCATCTTGGATTTTGCCCCCCCCCCGCCACCCCCGGAAAAGTATCCAAGCGGCCACCACCTAGGTCAGAAGACCGTCAACTTCTGATAGACACCATAATGACAACAGATACTTTCAGAGTTTACAGACACGAGCTCATGTGAGCCTCCACCACCCCGTGAGGTTGGAGGAGACACTTTATGGCTGAGGAATCAGACTCAGAAATTTAGACATGCCCTTGGTTACCCAGCTGAGAAGTGGCAGAGCAAAGTGTCGCCCCCTAATTTATGGACTTCACAATCACGTTTCCAGGTGTTTCTGTTTTGTGCTCTCCTTTTTTATTTTTACTGGTACCAGAGTTTGGTGACCACAGCTATATAATACAGTTTTAGGCCTGGTAATCCCATGCCCCTTTGTTCAAGCCTTTTCTACTATTCCCCTTGCGACTCTTGACTTTGATTCTACCGAAGGTAGTCATTGTGTCTAGTTCGAAAAAGAATACCTCAAGGAATCTGATTGGTATAACACTAAATTTGTCAGTTAATTTAGGTCACATTGACATTTTCATTATGTTGGCATGACCTAAACATAATCAGTAAATCCACAATTCTTTAATGCTTTTATTCCTATAAAGAGGGCTTTATAGTTTACACACACACACACACACACACACACACACACACACACCTTTTTTAAGTGCCTTTGTAGGTTGACCCTCAAATTCTTCATAAATTTTGTAGTAATTTTGAGTAAGATTCAGAAAAATCACTGAACTATGCATATTTATTTTCATTATTATTATTATTTTTTTTTAGGCAATTGGGGTTAAGTGACTTGCCCAAGGTCACATAGCTAGTAAGTGTCAAGTGTGTGGTCTGAGGCTGGATTTGAACTCAGGTCCTCCTGACTTCAGGGCCAGTGCTCTATCCACTGCGCCACCTCGCTGCCCCCCTATGCATATTTCTTGACCCAGCAATACTGTTACTAGGTCTACACCCCAAAAAGATCAAAGAAAAAGGATCCATGTATACACAAATACTTATAGAAGTTCTTTTTTGTGGTGGCAAAGAACTGGAAACTAAGGTGGTACCCATCATTCAAGAAATGGATAAATAAATTATCGTATCTTAATGTACTGAAATACTATATTGTGCCTTAAGAAATAATGAAGGGAAAGGTTTCAAAGAAACTGGGAAGACTTGTCTGAGCTGATACAGAACATAGGGAGCAGTCTACACTTTGGATATTTCTCCTTACATTGCCATGGCTGGCAAGCACTTCTAAAACGAATCCTAGAGAAAAGAGCGCCCTTCCTCTACACCCGCCTGCATTTCCTTATCCATCAAAGTTTCCATTGCCTTCTAACTGAGTCAGGCCCACTCACCACCAGAGCAGATCTAAGCCTTCTTTGCACACTCTGCTCACACATTCCCAGGCAAGAACCTCACCTACATTACTGAGAAAATCCAGGCCATCTACTACAAGCTCCCTCTTCTCCTCCCAACCTGGACCCTGTCTCCACCACTTCCTCCAGGACTTCAATCTTAAAGAAGATGACCTTTCTCCATGTCAAGGCCAGCCCTTCCACACTGGGCCTTTGATCCTCCCCACTCCCACCTTCTCCAGAAGACTGCCCACAGTCCAGCCCCTCTGGGTCTCTCTAATGCTCAGTCTTTCCCTATATCCTGGTTCCTTCCCCGATGCCCACAACACACTCAAGCGCCTCTGATCATTAAAAACCCCACCCTCCCTGCTACATGCTGTTCTCTGTCTCTCTTTTCTCGCAAAACTCCTCTGTGTCCTTCCTCCTGGTGTTGTCCGAGGCCTCCGCCATCTGGCAACTCTCCAGAGATCTCTGCACGGTCCAATCCTACCACCTTTCTTCAGTCTGGGTTCCACCTGACCACCTATGATCACTGATGTGCTCTCTTTTCTCGGGGTACCTGTGACAATGCTCCTCCCTGTCCTCTATGCCCTTCCTTTTCTGGGGCATCAGAAAAGATGCCTGCCCACTGAGTGCACCCAAGAGCCCTGCCTGAGATGCTCTTTTCTCCTCTCCTCATGGGCTCAATGGCTGTCTTTGTGCAGATGACTCCAGCATCTGGAGTAGCCTGCATACCATCCCCCTCATCCACTCTCTGTTTCCCATCTCCAAAACTTTGCACTGGTTAGCTCTCATGCTTGCGCAACACCCCCTGCCCCACTCATCTCTGCCTCTTGCTAGCTCAGGAATTCCTTCAAGACTCAGCTTACACACCACCTTCTCCAGGAAGAGAGATCTCCTGATTCCTCTATCACATATGCACATGTTGTCTTCCCCACCGGCTGGAATATAAACTCTTTGAGGGAAAGGACTGTTGGGCTTTTGCCTCAATCGCCAGAGCTGAATATAGTGCCTAGCATACACCAGGCATTAATAAATATTTATGGACTCAATCAACATATGCTTTTGGTCATACTAAAGATGTAGTCTCAAGTCTGTGTTTAGGATAGGCCTTTTTTTTTTTTAAACTTTTTACACGAATAAGTGCTATGTTCAACCATGTCATCCTAGACGATGTGATGCTAAGGGGGTGGAAAATTACACAGTCTGACATGCTTCCTCAATGGAAATGTATTCCAAATGTTCTGATAAAAGAGAGGTGTGGTCCCAGGGCTTCTGATTCTAAGACAAAAAAATTACTCAAAGAAGAATGAGACACTCTTAAGAATTAATTTCTGACAACAAAATTGTGAGTGACTCAACAAAATAACGAACAAGGATAAGAAGGAAAGTGGTTGAGTAGGAAAAGAAATCTTTCTATCAAATATCTTTGATAAGGAAGGGTGTGATATCCCCAATACATAAAACTATACACACAGCTGGGCCATCCCTCAGGGGACAAGTGGTTAAAAGATATAAACAATCCTCAAAAGAAGAAGAACAAGCTATTAAAGACATGTTAAAATATAACTCACTGGTATTAAGAGAGATACACATCAAAACAATTCTGGGGCTTCACCTCATCCCCAGCAAATTGGCCAAGAGGACCAAAGACGTGAAGAGTCAATGTCGGAGGGTCGGTGGAAAGACACACTCACATTCTAATGGTAGAGATATAAATTAGCCTAACCATTCTGCAAAATAATGTGGAGTTATGTTAAGAAAGTGACTAAAATGGACTGTGAGGCATCAATTCCAAAGAGCTCAATGATAAAAAGAAAGTTCCTATACATATCAAAATATTTATAGCAGTACTTTTTATAGGAGCCAAGAACTGGAAACAAGGTCAGTATCTGTACATAGACAGACAAACAGATTATGGTATATGAGTATCA